CCGGGGATTGTTCTCACCAGTGCGGCAGGTTCGCGCCGTGTCGGCCGGCGGCGACCCCAGCGCGAGCGTTTATTAAGGTTGAACGCCGCCAGTGGCCCAGAATCGGCCCGTCGTTCAACGATCCGGCGTTACTGGAACGGCCGGTCGTTCAAGTTCGAACGATCCCCGCGATGTCAGGAACCAACGCCGGGGTCGGCACGACGCGAACCTGTCGTAGAAGCTTAGAGCGGTATCGGTGCCTTTCTGGTTTCGAAGGCCTTGGGCTGCGCACAGACAGGCCCTCCCAGGTGGTCCCGGCTGGCCTGGACAGGCCCCCCGAGAGCAGGCCATGGCGGTCTCAGCACCCGGGGGCCGCCTCCGACGGCGGCCCCACATGGGGCGCTCCGCGCCCGAGGGGTTGGGGCGTGGAGGCCGCCCGGGACTCCTCGGGACCCCTGCTGAGGCCAGCCGAGACGACGGTGGGGGCATCTGCTCAGGAATGGGCCCAGGAGGCTTCAGACCCTGGGGGTGAGGGCGGCAGTTGTATCCATGGCCGATCCACGATCGGAGTTGCACTGGCTTCCAGACCCTGGATTCCTTACCCAAGAGTTCCTTCTCGCATGCCCTCACCGTACTCGGGGGGCCTGTGCCGAAGAAGAAAATGCGCCATCTGCCCGGGGGGGGGTGGGGCTGTCCTGTGCGCAGCCCGGAGCCTTGCCACAGGAGCTGGCGAAGAAGCGGGCCGAGGAGGAGGCGCGGCGTCTGGAGCAGAACGCGGCGCTCGTGGTGCGGAAGGTGATCCAGCGGTTGCGCATCGCGACGCCCGAGAATTTCGAGGAGCTCCGGGGCGAGCTGGAGCTGAGGCAGACGGAGGAGCTGGAGAAGATGGGGTCCCTGGCCGAGAAGGTGATCCGAGCACGGTAGATGCCCAGCACTGTCAAGATTGGGGGAAAAAACGCGCGATCCGCCTGGGCGCAGTTCGGCTCTTGTGGGGAACCCGTTGTCGCAGCCCCGCCGCAAACGACGACCACCCCCCCCGCAAACGACGCCCCGCCGCAAACGACGACCGCCGCCCCGACCCCCCCTCGCGGCCAGGGGTCCGAACGGGGCTGATCGATCAAAGCAAACGCGGTGGTGGTATTTATATTTTTTGGTTGCAAGTGGACCCGGTGTTTAGACGCCGCGAAGCTGAGCGGCTTCCGTTGTGGGAAGTCCCTCCCACGGCGCCCGCGCGCCGCGCTTCACTCCTGCTCGCCAGGGAGGCGTGGCATCCTCTGGCACGGCCCTAACTCCGATCATTGGCGCGGGTACGTTCTTTGCGGGCAGCGGTGCTCCGAATGAATTGCCTCGCAGGTGATGGAGGAGGCCGAGAAGGCGATGCTCCAGGCGCAGGAGCGGGTGGAGAAGATCCAGGAGAAGCGCGAGGAGGAAGCGCGCGCGGAGATCGAGGCGGAGGAGAGGAAGAGGGCGGCGGAGGAGCTCCAGGAGCGGATCACGGCGGAGGCCGTCGCGACAGTCGAGGAGGCCGAGATCAAGGTTGAGCTGGCCGCCGAGCTGGGGAAGGGCGCTGGCGAGGCCGCCGGCGAGGGTGAGCCCGAGGACGCCGTCAGGCTCGTGGAGGGTGCCCAGGCCACAGAGGATGCCGCGAACGTCGCCAAGGGGGCCCTCGACACTGCCTCCAGGTGATGGGCTGATTTTCCACCACCACTACCAGAGGTAGGAGAGGGAGGGGGAGGAGGAGGAGGAGGAGGAGCAGGAGGAGGAGGAGGAGGAGGACGAGGAGGAGGAGGAGGACGAGGAGGAAGAGGAGGGGGAGGAGGAGGAGGAGGAGGAGGAGCAGGAGGAGGAGGAGGAGGAGGAGGAGGAGGACCTCCCCATCCTCCCTTCTTCCCAGCCTGCCTATGGTAGTTGTGATGGGAAATGTGCCCATCACCAGGGTCTTGACCGAGAAGCGTGCCGAGCTCACCCCCGAGAAAGACTACGCGGCATTCCTGCGGGCGGAGCTGCGGCCCCTCTTCGGCCGGCTCGCGGTCGGAAGGAGGGTCGTCGAGTCTCTGAAGGAGGCCGCCGCCTCTACGAAAGCAAAGGCGGGTCGGAAGGCAGCGGCCATCAAGAAGGAGCAGGAGCAGAAGGAGCTGTTCTCGAAGTACGATGCGGATGGCGACGGAGCCCTCAGCCGCGAAGAGGTGACGCAGTTCGCAAAAGGCGAGCTGGAGTTCGATGTGGGCGAGGAGGCCCTCGACAAGATATTCAAGAACCTGGCGCCCAGTGGGCCGGGCGTGCCCGCGGAGAGGTTCCCCCGGCTGCGCTCCATGCTGGCCATCGCCAAGTCCGAGGTCTTGGCGAGAGAAAGGCGTTCAGGAAGATCGAAATGGGTACAGTCAACCCGCAGAGTAAGGATAGGCGACCTTCCCAAGGATACCTTTGCATCCATGCCTCCTCGTTCCATCCTTGGCCACTTTCGCTGGCCGTGCCAGGCTCGAAAAGCTTCGACATGGGCGTCCAAGGCCCTTGCATCCTCATCGCGCGTGCTTCTGATACGGGACGACTGAACGGAAAGAATGGGCACACAGACGTGCATCATGTCGTGCTTATTTTGGACAGGATTCGCTGTCGGTGTGGCCGCGGGCATTGTCGGTGTGAGACCAAAGGTCGCCTGCCCAACAGCGGCAACTGCCGGTTTGGGACAAGACTCGCTGTCGGGCATCGTGCCCCTTTTTCCTGTGCTCACCTATTTCGGGCGTCCAGAGGCGTGCCAAGGAGGAAGAGGAGGCGCGCATCAAGGCCGAACTGGAGGCCAAAAGGAAAGAGGAGGTGGCCGCGAAGATCGCCGAGCTGGAGAAGGCGCTGGAGCCGCTCGCCGCCGCGCTGGCCGGGGCGGAGGCCGCGTCCGCGGAGGCCGAGGAGGCCGGGAGGAAGCTGGTGCACCCGCGGACCCTGAACGACTCGAGCGCCGAGCAGCTCGTGCAGGATCCGAGCATCAAGCACTGGCCTTCTCATTCGGCATGAGATCATGGGACCCTTGTGTACACATATGTATATATATGCTCATATCTATATATATATATATAGAGAGAGAGAGAGAGAGAGAGAGAGAGTCACGGCGCTGAGCCAAATGTCCCAGTGGGCTCGGGAGGGGCGCTGTTTTTCGGGCCGTTCCTCAGGCCTGGGTCGGGGATCCTGTTCGTGGACGAGGCTCGCCGTGGCCAAATAAAGCCCCTTCGTTCCTTATGCACCGCTCCTTCTGGTAATACCTCGACTGTACCGTCTTAGTTCAGTCTCTAGCGTCGACTCGCGTCGACTAGCGTCTGGTGATCAATGAGATAGCGCTAATGTTCGTGTCGATTGGCGTCGGTTGACGTCGATGGGCGTCGATTTAGCGTCCATCAGCGCCGATTGGCGTCGGTTACAATCGGCCAAAAATATGGTAGGGGAGGCTCCCGTGAGTTGCCTCCGAGTTCTCACGACTTACAAAACAACACCAGCCCAACACGAAGGTCCCCGACCCCCCAACACAAATTCTGGTTGAGGGCTGTGCAAGTTCCTCTGCGTGTTTTCCCGATGTTGCTGAACGCCCCCCCCCCGCGCACTGGAAATTGGCAAGACCCACGGCGATTTCAGGTTGGACTTGGGTGGCTTGGTAGGTAGTCACCTCCGGTAGCAAATCATTGGAGTCTGATCTGTCCTCGCAGCTCCGTCTCTGGAGTGCATCAGCCGCACGCTCTGGTGTCTGGGCATCGGTGAGAGAGCGCCGACGAGCATCGACTCCGCGTCGGTGCGCGTCGGTCCGCGTCTCGCTGGGGCCAGCGGGAGGGCACGGCGGCACGGGAGGCTCCCGTGAGCTGGCACCGAAACTCTCCTGGGACACCCGCGGGGGGGCGCGAAGTGAGCCGCGCCGCGCGCGCGGCGGTCTGGTCCCCCGAGAGGCCGCCCTGCTCCAAAGCTTCGGTCGGGCATGTTCTAAAGGAGGAGTACTCTAACATAGTGTAACAAAAATTAGATGGGGACGGCTGTTACATTATTTGTTTGACAATGTTTGAGTACTTGTGACTACTTTTGATTTTCCGTCCAGACTCCGCCTGTGGGGGGACACGCCCGACCAGATCCAAGGCTGGCGGCGCGAGTGCGCGAGGGCGCGAAGAGAGTCGCGCGTCGCGCACCGCGGTGCGCGGCGCGCCAGGTTTCCCGGACCCCCCTCGAGGCATGACAAAAAGCACGACGGCTGGTGTTTCGATGGTTGTCGGCCTCCGGGAGTCCCTGCCCGGCCTCGGGGCCGCCAACAAGAGCGACCCCGGATGCAAAGCCAGTCCCGTGGGAGGGGTTCGAGACTTCTGGGGTCGAAGTCACGGAAAAATCATGACGTCGGGGGTCCGGGTTGGTGGCCTGGCTTTCGGAGGTCCTCGCGAGCTTTCTGGACCAGCGTGGGGCCCCAGCTGTGGCCAAGGAGGGGGCCGCAGCGCCGATCCCCGAGCAGTGCGCGCGGACCTCCAGAGAAGTGAATCTAGATGCTTAGGTAACTTGCTGCTCCTTGAAGGCAATTGCCGATGTGGAGGCCAAGACGCAGCCCACGACGGAGGCGCTCAGGAGCACGCTGGCAAGCGCTGATGAGTTTGAAATCACGGTTGAGGAGGGCGACCCGGATTCTCACGAGGAAATCAAGAAGTGGAGAAGAGGCCAGGTCATGAAGCTGCGAGAGAAGGGCAAGCAGGTGCAGGCTAGGCTCGACAAGGCGGCTTCACAGGTAGCCAGGGCCAGAAGTAAAGCAGCGCAGAAGGAGTACGCAACCATGGAGGACTTGCGTAGCAAGTTCGTGCTGTCTCTGCGCGCGGGCATGGAGAAAGAGCAGAAGTCAGCTGAGGCCGTATTTGTCGATGCCGCTGGCGGTGCTGACTGCAGCGAGGTGTCCCGGGAGAAGTTCCTGGCATTCGCCGCGAGCTCATTGCCTGGGGCCGCGCTGGAGGAGGACAGGAGTGGGCCTGCATTCTTCAGGCATTTGATCGCGGGAGGCGATGGCGATGTCTCCATGTCCAAGGCAACTTTCTTGGACCTGTTGAAGCTCGTCTACAGAGTGGTCAAGCCGACGGTGCTGACGGAGACTCTTTCCATCAAGTCCAAGGCTGCCAGGAGACTGGAGGTGGGCGAGGTTGTCGAGGCGCTGGAGGGACCTACCATGGATGATTCTCTTGGTAAGACCACTGGTGTCGAACGAATCAAGTGCAAGTCTTTGCTGGATGGTGCCACAGGCTGGGTAACGATCGCCGGCAACCAGGGTACGAAGTTCCTGGAGCTCGGCGGTGACTGTATGAAGTGCGTCAAGGAGACCGCGCTCACAGACGGCCTCAGTGCTGCGGACAGCAAGACTCTGCGCAAGGTTCCAGTGGGCGAGATACTGGAGGTGTTGGAGGCTAAGGTGAAGGATGAGTCTTCTGATGCCATGAGGATCAAAGCCAGGTCGAGAGTCGATGGGACGATTGGGTGGGCGACAGTCGAAGGCGATGGTCACACCTTCCTGGAGCCGTCGTGAGCTGCCTACCCCAAGACTTGGCCGCTATGAACGCGTGCATCGATCACCGTGTGCAACGAAAGTCAGCGTGACCTCCCGTCGAGTACCAAACAGCCCACACGCAGAAACTGTCGGCAGTCCGCGCGGATATTTTTGGGGGGCCGTCGCCGGACACCTCCTCCCATACCCATCGGTCGTGCCAATTAACTAGGTATTTCTGGATCCCCAGATTCCAATCTACTTTCAGCGCCTTCCTGCTTCCATGGTCGAGTGGCTTCGCCTTTTCCGTCCTCCTCAGGGGGCGGACGGACACCCAATCCACTTTCAATGCCTCCCTACTTCATGGTTCTGCCTACTTCTTCCGACCGATGGGTACCCCCCCCCCGGGCGTGGCTCCGCCCGCAGCGCACGGTTTGCGCGCCGGGCGGCGGTGGTGGGGAAGGGGGCCGGCGCTGGCCCGAGAAGCCCGCGCGGGCCTCTGAAAGTTTGTAGGCTGGTGGCCCTCACTGGGTTTCTGGCTGAGGGTGGCTCGTGGGGCCTCCAGGAGGCCTCCAGGGGGCCTCCTGGGTTCTCTTGGGGGCCTCTTGGGGCTTCCTGGAGGCCTTTTGGGGCGGAAGGCTCGAATTGGTGGTTCGTGTTTCCCCTCTCCTCCTCCTCCTCCTCCTCCTCCTCCTCCTCCTCCTCCTCCTCCTCCTCCTCCTCCTCCTCCTCCTCCTCCTCCTCCTCCTCCTGGTGCTCTCTTGGGGGTTTCTTGGGCGATCTTGGGCGCCTCTGGGGCCGTTTTGGGACCGATTTGGGCCGTCTTGGGGCCCCAGTCTGCTGCCCCTCGGCTTAAGTCGGGCATGCCCCTCTGCAGGAGGAAGGTTCACACATGGCCGACACATAGTTTTGGGAGAATGTTTTGATTGTGTCTCAGAGGAGGAAGAGGTACCCATACCGCTACCCTGCTCTCGATTTCCTCTTTTTGGGCCTCATGAGGAGCCCTCGTCGCCACCGCTGGATTCGCCCCGAAATTCTGGTCAGAACGCACCCCGGGAGAGGTCCGGGGGGGAGCGGTATCGCTACCTTTTGGTTTCCCCATGTTTGACTCGTTTAAAGTATGCTTGACCATTGCTTATTTTTCTTCCAGCATCCGCCCGTAGGACGGCATGCCCGACCGAAGCCTGGGTCAGCCCTCTTCCGATGGTGTGCCCTCTTCCTTTGGCCCTTCTGTGCCTCGGCACGACGCGGCTCCTCTGTTGGATCTGCTCCCGCTCCTCGCCCCCATCCCGTACGCCCCCCTCTCGTTACGTTGCACCTTGAGGTGGACCTCGCCTGTCCCCCAAGTTAGTGTCTTTTCTTGTGCCCGATGCGAACTCGACGCGGATTTGGCGCGGAATCGGCGCGGGTTCGGCCCAGCGAGCAGCTGGTCGGCCCGAGGTGTTTATCATGATCGGGCGCGTCGTCGAGCAGACCAACGGCGAGAGGCAGCTCCTGAAGCAGGAGGGCCGCGTGGAGCGCTGGCCTTCGCACATGCAGCCGTGGAGGGGCGCCGGGGCGGGCGGGGCCGCTCGACCGCACTCGGGGAGAGAGGCTCGAGAGAGAGGCCCTTCGCCAGAGCGACCCCCGGGTGCGGGCCCACGGGATCGCCCGAGCGCCCCAGCAGCGTGCTGCTCGCCTGGGTTTGCCCCCCCCCCCCCCCCCTGCGCCCATTGAAAGCCCGCGAGCTGAGAGCCCATCTGCGCCCTCCTCCCTCCTCCCACCCTCCTCCCTCCTCCTCCCTCCTCCTCCGTTTCCTGCACCCCCAGCCTCTCTCGCCCGAGAAGAGCTGCGCCGCAGCTCGCCTGGGTTGCCCCCCCCCCCCCACACCCCCTTCTGCGCCCATTGAAAGCCCGCGCACCAAAGGTCGCTCTTGCCTAGGGTCGCTCTCTTGCGAGTAGCCGGACCTCTTTCAGCATGAAGGGTCGATCTGCAGAGGGCATGTACCAACGACCGCTAGGCCTTGTCACGGCCAGCCTGGCCCTGGGATGGCAGCAGATAGGCCTTCATGGCCTCGGCCAGGAGGGCGTATATACCATGCCAGGGCCCAGGGTGGCCCTGTTCAGGCAAGCATCGTTGTGGTGGGGCGCAGGGGCATCTCAGTCCAGCATCGAAGCGCAGTGACGACAAGCAGATCTGTTCAGGGGCCTGCGTGGACCTCTTGGGTTGTCGCCGGGCCCCCCCTCCCTGGTGACGGATGCGCCGCCGAGGGTGGGGTCCGGCGCCTATCCAAAAGATCCGCGTGACCTCCGACAGTTTACGAGTTTACGCATGTGCCCTTGTGTATTGTTCTGCAGCAGGAGGGGTCGAGCCAGCACGCGCCACGCGGGCTCGTCCAGCGCCATGCAGGTGCGTGCCAGGTGCAGGAACGTAGAATTGCTGCTTGCCCCAAGGCCTGGAGGCGTGGCCCACTGGGGCCCGTCCCAGGTCCCCCACCCGCCCTGGGAGCTCCGGGGGGCAGGCCCAGATCGCCCCGAAAGCATAGTTTACAACTCTTACCTTCTCGGCACCAGGAGCGTCCAATACGCTCCAAAGGGCCCCTAAGAGCTCCTGAAGACGAAGCCTGGCGCTCTCTCCTCGCCGCTCGCCGAGACGGAACGCTGTGGGCTCGGGCAGGGCCGAGGTGGCTGAAGCCTATTGCTGCGTAGCGGGACTTCCCCCCTCTTCCTCCCTCCCGTGCTCCGCGGGAGGCTCTTCTCAGCGTGCTCCCCGATTTTTCGCTCCTGGTTCCTGTCCCCCCCGCGCACCCCCCGCCTCATTGTTCCACATTTGTCCTCCCCGTTGCCCAAACTCGTTTCCTGCATCCTCCTACTCCTTCGCCTCCGCATCCACCCAGTTTATCCAGCTATGCTGATGCACTCTGTCATTGACCAGAGAACGGGCGGATGGGCAGGATGCCACCCTGGTCGCGCCATGGTACCCGCAACGAGTGTGCCGCCCAGTTTGCCCTGACCGTTCTGTCAAGTGCAATCGCCGGATACCTGGCAGAGGACCTTGTGCGCCGCAGGAGTAGCCGTAGCAACCACAGCAGTAGCAGCCTCAGCAGCAGCAGTTGCGGCTCGAGTCATCAGTGTTTGCAGTGCCAGTGGCAGCATCAGTGGTAACGCTGGTATGAGCGCAGCTGCTAGCAACGGTGGCAACACCCTCAGCAACAGCAACAGCAGCATAGTCGTAGTCGTAGCACATTGCATGCAAAGTTGTGTTCCTCTCCCCCCTCGCCTCCCTGCCCCATCCCCCCCTTTTCTCGACTCCCCTCCCCCATTCCCTTCCAGTGGGGGGGAACCAGTTGCAATCGAATTGCATTCGTCGGAACATGCAAAGCTTCGGCAGCCAACGTTCGACGCACGACGTCTCTACGGAGGAGGAGGAGGAGGCAGGAGGAGGAGGAGGAGGCAGGAGGCAGGAGGAGAGGGACAGTGGTCTTGCAGCTCCTCGTATGGCTGCTGGCCGCCAGTCGCAGCCGCCTCCTCGCCGTCCACTCTGGCTTTCCTTGAGGAGGGAGGGGTGGATATGGCCTTCCACGACCCCAGGATTTCATCCTCCTCCTACACCTTCAGCCTTACGTAACTTTTTACGCGTCTCGCAATTCCGATTCTAAGAGGCTATGGCCTCCCCCACCTGGTCTCAGTTTGGCCTGGGCATCTGTCCGCTGAGGTATTGTGCTCGTTCCTTCGATCAAAGGCATGGAAGGGGTGAGGCTACAGCCAGAGCTGTTAGCGTGTGTCGAGGACGTTCAGTTCGTGTCGCAGTGTGAGTGCGAGGCAAAGTACAGCGACACGTACGGACTCCGTTCGGGATGTCAACGGATGGCCGGCGGATGTTGTCCTCCCCAGATGGCATGGTCACGATATTCTCGGACATGTTGGCTGCAAGTCGCCCGACTGATGGCATCTTCTGTCCTGCTTCTCCCAGCCGCTGGCCCGTGGAGCGTGGCATGACCTCCTCTTTCTGCGCGTTGAGTTCCATCTCGCTGCGCGGCCCCTCCGAGCAGAGTCGCCTCCCGTCGCCCCCTGGGGCTGTCTCGCGAGAGACAGTGGACCTCCGGCCTGAGCGGAGGTGCATCCTCTGGGCTATCCGCTCCTTCCGATGGACGCTTGGTGCTCCTGCAAAACTGTCGCCCATGGAACTGGGCGGGGGTGTTCACGAATCGACGTGGCCTGTGGAATTCGAAGGGAGGGTGGCGATCTTGGACTACATGCGGTGCCTTCTGCTTCGACTGTTGGGTGTTGCCGTGCAGCCGTGGCTTTGGGACCTTGCAGGTTGGTGTCGTTGATTCGATCTTCTGGAAGCGTAAATTAAATTCAATTCCCCAGCCTCTTGACAGTCTAGATCCTTCGAACAGTTTTCGGCCTTCGGGCCGAGCCTTTGAACTTGCTGGCCCAAAGTGCCAGGTCACATCCCGACGTTGGGCCCCTGTGACTCAGCAGGGCTGCGACGCCGCCCGTGAGATTTCGACAAGCCCGCTTTGTCGGACCCCCCCGACGTTGGTTCTGCAGGTTTGCCATGGCCGAGGAGCTTGGGACTGGCCAGCCACGTTGGCTCAGCACTCCGTTTTCCGGTAGCCGGCACGACGAGCCCGGCGGGCAACCGTGACGGGTACAAAGAAGAAGCGGTTCGTGTTAGTCGGTCATCTCTCCCGTGGGAGGCGGGCTTGAGGTTGAAGGGTTTTTTGTTGCCACACGCGCACCCCCGCAGGGCGTGCACAAGGCAATTGTTGGTTTCTTGGGGGCGATTTCAGGGGAGCGCCCAGCACCCACGCTGAGCACCAGCCTTGCTCAGGCGTGACCTTTGCCTCGGTCACCAGGGCGGTCACCTCTTTCTGCCCAGGGCGACAGCAGCAGAACTGTTGCAATTAGCCCTGCTGCTGCTTAGCCGATACGCCGTGCGGCGCGGCTCCGCTGACTGACCGGCGCGTCCCCGTTGCAGAGTGAGCGACTCAAAGAGAACGGCGTCGTCTGCGCCGACACCGGCGCGTAAGCTGCCTGCGTAAGGTCGCGCGTTAGCGCCTTCGCTTCCCATGTGATGCGCCGCGCGGGCGGCCCGCGCAAGCCGCCTCGTCAGGTCGCCGTGCCATCTCGCATCAGACCCCTCTTTGATCGTTGCCCGAGTGCAGGCGGGTGATATGCTGCCCGCGTGATGGCCAGACCGCCACCACCCGACGCTGCGGGTTGCAGGGACGCCTCGCAGACCTGCCCACGAGAACGGGAGTCCCGGAGAGGCGCGGGAGCACTCACTCGCCGGGCTGCTGCAAAGCAGCCCTCTGGATTTACAGGTTTACCAGGGCCGCTTGAAACTTCGACCCGAAGTCAGATTGGAAGGTCCCGCCCCAGTCATGCGATGTTTTGATTTTTCACTACGGGGCCCCCAGGCGTCCCGATCCTTTCCATTCCCCGGGGCCAGTTTGTCGCCACGAGTCGTTGTGACGGCCCCAGGGCCCAGCGAGGGCCCAAGCCGAGAGCGGCCAAAAACTTGCGTCGTTATTTGCTCACGACGCGATCCTGTCTGGGGCTGCCACCTTTTCAGCACTCCTGGAAGCTTGGAGACTCGCCGCCGAGCGATGGGCGACGAGAATGACGGCCCGCACGGTGCAAAATCCGCTGGGCAGGCGCCGAGTCCAGAGCTCTTGTCACTCGGACGGTGTGTGTCCGCATGCGCCATTCCTCGAAGAAGAAACGAAGACATGCACCAAGCATGTTGCGCTCCGCGCGGATCTCTTGGATCGGCGTTGGACCCGACTCCCTGGCCCCCCAGCGCCGATCCAGGAGAGATGCGCGGCACTCCGACATCTTGTGTTTAAGCAGTTGTTTTTGTTTATCATTCCGGCCAGGCTGCCCACGACGCGTCCTGGCCCGGCTGCTTCGCATTCCCGGTCGGATAGTCGCTGGCGAGCGCTGGTGGAACGATGTGGGCAAGATTGGCATTCGTGTCCTGTGACAACGAATCCCTAGAAAGCAACCAGCCATGCTGATCAATATGGGGTAGAAGCAAGTAGGAACAAGTAGTTTTCCAACATAGGCAAAACATATGAAATAATATGTTTAAGTAGGAAAAAGTAGTTTTAAAATCGTGTCAAGCTGGAAATAACAATCCCAACGTAGACATACCATTTCAATGTCAATTTGCGGGTTGATCAGGACGGGCGCTGCAAATGTGTCGCATTGCAACCATCATTGCCGCGGTCATCCCGGGCGCGTCGCGCTGCGCCGCATTGCTTGAGGTTCGCAGGCGCGGGGCCGCGCTGCGCGAAACAAGCGCGTAGCGTCGGGGCCATAATGCAGGGTCGCAGCGCTGGCGCCTTCTTGTAGCCTACAGGGAGGCCTGCGGACTCCATGGCGCGCGGCGCTGTCTGCCGGTTGCAGCTTCTTCATCGGGGCCGAGCAAGTGGCGGGGCCCCGCCCGCCAGGCCAGCGCGCAGTTAAGATGGGTGAGTATGGGCCCTTGCGCGGGGGCGGAGAAGTTATTTCGTTGATTTAGAAAGCAATTTCGGGGCGCCCCCCGGGCCCGCCAGGGGGCCGCCGGGGCCCTCCGGGGGGGCTCCGCGACTCACCCGCGGGCCCGCCGGCGGCCGGCCGGGTGGGCCTCCGGCGGGCCCGGGGTCCGCGAGAGGTGGCGCGGCCGGCCCAGATTTGCGCGCGCTGGCGCGGCCTGGGTCCGCATTTGCAAAACGCGCCTGCGCGGCTGGGCCCAAATATGCACGCGCCGGCGCAGCCGGGCCCGGACATGCAAAACGCGCCGGCTCGGCCGGGCCCAGATTTGCAACGTGCGACGGCGCGGCCCCGCTTGAGATAATAATGCGCGCCAGCGCGGCCCCCCCAGAGGCGCAGCTGCTTGAGACGGACCGCAGCCTTGGATGGGGTAGGGCGCGGGCCTGCCAGGCCAGACAGTGCCCGAGGAGGGCGGGGCCAAGGCCCGCTTCCCACAAGGGGGTCCCTGCTGGGCTTGTTTTCCACCGCCACCACCACAGTAGGAAGGGAAGGGGGTCCTCCACCTCCTCCTCCACCTCCTCCTCCTCCTCGTCCTCCTCCTCCTCCTCCTCCTCCTCCTCCCCACCCCCCTCCTCGCCCTCGTCCCCCACCTTCTTCCCCCCTCCGCCTTTTGGTGGTGGTGGTAGTTGTGAAAACAGGCCCATCAGTCCCACAGGATGAGGGGGGCGAAGGTTCTTCTGCGCGGGGCACACCTCGGACCGGCAGCCGCACGATACTGAAACCCAGCCTGCTTCAGCAAAGTTTAGGCGTCACGGCGCCAGCATCGCAAACCGGATTTCGTTCGGAAAGCCATGGGATGGGCCAGGATCGTATTGGAGAGTAGCGCTACGGATTTCGAAGTGGATTTCGTGCGGATTTTCGTTGGCCAGGAATGAAGACTACAATCAATCCACGTGCAATTCACGTTTTTTTCGCTCGCCAGCTCTGGGTGTTGCACTGCGAGAAATCCACGTGGAAATCCGCTGCTGCGCGTCTGCAAGGCTGGTGCAATGATTGTTGATGCTTCGGACTCCGACACCGACAGTAGTGGCTGCAGCGAGGCTTGCACTATTTTTAGATGTTCTTGCCATCGCCACCAGCACATTTGATTATCTTTCTGCGGGCCATGCGTTTCTTGAATTTCTGGATGCGTGCCTATCCTTCCTCCGCCTCCTCTGGGGCCGTCCAACCCCGCTCTCGACGCCGAGGCTGGTTCCAGAGTTGTCGGTAGAGGGTCCCGCGAGCTCTCCCAAGGTCTTGCGGAGCTTGTTTTGGAGGTCCTGGCTGGAGGCTAGAACTTGGTTCTCCTTGGTGGCAATGTGGCATTGAACTATTCGTCATAAAACAACTTGCAAGCGGGGGGCAAGAGCACACATCTGCACAAGGTAGGTGGCCCACCCACACCCAGCAATAAGACCCCTCCAAGTTCTACCCGCAATCACACACAAATCTTGTAGAGCAGCGA